GCTGGCACTAGAGGTGCTAGAGGCACTACTGGTGCTAGAGGTCCTCGCGCTGCCGAAGCTAGTGGTGCTGCTGGTGCTGGAGGTGATGGGGGTGCTGCTGGAGCTGCTGGTGCTGGAGGTGCTGGTGTTGCTGGTGCTGGAGGAGCTGGAGCTGCTAGTACTTCCCTGCGCAGACCGTTTTTCTACCCGCAGCCGCAGTCGTCCCTGCCGCCGCCTAACTCAGTCCTTCGCCAAGTTCTTAGTCTCCCGTCTTCCACTAGCCTCCCTCTACCCCTCCTCTGTCCACCGACAGACCAGTTTCAGCCACAGCTACTGCCTGGGTCCCCGCTGCCTGCGCCTGGTCCTCACACTGAGGTGACTGAGTCCCTGACTGAGCGTCGTGAGCCTGAGACTCGTGCTTCCACACCTGTTCGTGCTCGTCGTGTCGCCCGTCCTCGTCCTCCTGCTGTCCCAGGCACTCACGGTATGGCACTTTGTCCTTCCTCTGTTCCACAGCGTGTTGTCCTGCCTGAGCCTCCCGCGTCCTCTCTTTCGCACGTTTCTGACCCTGAGTCTAACCTTGCTCATGCTGCCAATCCTACTGTCACTCGTCTCCTCGCTACTGTCGTCACTGACCCTGACCTTGAGTCTACTGAGCTAGTCACTGAGCTAGTCGACTTTGCAGCTAGGAGTCGTCTCGACTACGTCGGGAGTCTTGTCACTGAGTCTGAGTCTGTCTGTCCTCCGTCCGTCGGGGGTGAGCTTGCCCTTGGCAGTGATGTACTTGAGGACAGACAGTTTGAGTGTTAGTTTGTTGCGGCCACTTTACCTCGTTTCGCATCCATGCTGCTTTGCCCTGAGGGAGACCCGGATGCACTTGAGATCCCTACCCTGCGCTCTTACGCTGAGGCGATCGCGGGTGAGTACTCCTCTCAGTGGCAAACAGCCATGGATGCAGAAAATGGCTTCCTGGAAGTCCACAGGCACCTACGTCGACGAGGTTCCTCCTCCTGGGGCGAACATAGTCGATGGCATGTGGATTTTCAGAGTGAAGCGGCCGCCGGGTTCTCCGCCTGCCTTCAAGGCGCGTTACGTTGCTCGAGGCTTCAGTCACCGACAGGGGGTCGACTTCTTCCAAACCTTCTCCCCCAACCGAAGATGGCTACTCTTCGGGTGCTGCTGCACGTTGCAGCACAGCGTGACTACGAGCTGCACTCCCTCGACTTCTCCACAGCTTTCCTGCAGGGTAGCCTTCACGAGGAGATCTGGCTGCGCCGCCGACCCGGCTTCACTGGGTCGTTTCTTGCGGGTACCCAGTAGAGCCTCCGCCGGCCAGTCTACGGTCTCCGCCAGGCGCCCCAAGAGTGGCACGACACACTGAGGACTACACTTGCGGCTCTTTGGTTTGCTCCTTCGACTGCTGACCCGTCGCTGTTTCTACACACCGACACTACCCTGCCGCCGTTCTACATTCTAGTGTACGTCGATGACTTGGTTTTTGCTACTGCTGACACTGAGGCGCTGACCCTAGTGAAGGCGGAGCTGTAGGAGAGACACACCTGCAATGACCTGGGTGAGCTGCGAAGCTATCTTGGCTTGCAAATCACCCGGGACAGAGCATGGCGCACCATCACCCTGACTTAGTCACACATGGTGCACCAGGTCCTTCAGCGCTTCGCCTTCCAGTTCTCCTCGCCACAGCCCACTCCTTTGTCTACCGGCCACTCACTCTCAGCTCCACCTTCGGACAAGTCCGTAGAGCCTAGTGGTCCGTACCCAGAGCTTGTGGGTTGCCTCATGTACCTGATGACTTGCACACAACCTGACCTCGCGTACCCTCTCAGCCTCCTGGCTTGCTACGTGGCTCCCGGTAGACACCGAAAGGTGCACTGGGATGCTGTGAAGAGGGTAATGCGTTACTTGTGCAGTATATCGGGCATAGGGGCTAGTGCTTGGAGGACAGGGTTCAGTGGTACTCACCGGACACTCCGACGCTTCTTGGGCCGACGACCAGGCGACTCAGCGTTCGTCACAGGGTTACACCTTCAGTCTTGGCTCTGGTTCTGTCTCGTGGAGGTCCACTCGTTCTTCTTCTGTGCTTAGTTCCAGCTATTAGGCCGAGATCTACGCTGGGGCTATGGCTGCACAGGAGCTTTGCTGGTTGACCTACCTGCTGACCAACTTGGGGGAGCGGCCTCGTTCTCCTCCAGTTTTGTACATCGACAACAAGGCAATGCTTGCCTTGTGTCACGAGCAGAGACTGGAGCACAGAACGAAGCACATTGCTCTTCGCTACTTCCTTGCGCGTGAGCTGCAGCAGCGTCGTCAGCTCCGCCTTTCCTACGTGGCCTCGCGGGCCAACACTGCTGATGTGTTCACCAAGGCCCTTGGGTCTTGTGATCATCAGCGTTTCTGCACTGCTCTTGGGCTTGTGCCCACTCTGCCTCACCTGCTGGTTACTTGACTTGCTCTTGCTGTACACTGATATATATCTTTATACCTGCTTATTTCCTCTTGCTAGGTTGTGATCAGTGTACTGCCTTGCTATTATAACTCTGCATGTGAACTAGCCTTGTGGCTGCTTGCTTGTGCTAAGATTGTGTGGTGTCCTTGAGATCCACCCTGAGTTTTGTTTTGCTTTGCTTTTGTTCTGTTGTCTTCCTTGACTGGTCTTGTTGTTCCCCACTTAGTCTATGGGGGTGTGTCAAAGTACAATCTTATTTGTAGGCTATAGTGGGGCACTCCTTATGGGGCACAGCACTTCAAGGGTTAGTACTTGTACCCCAACTCTTGCTAATCCAATCATTCCTACACAGTTCTCTTGATACTGCGCTGTCAAACAACAGTGACAACAACAACGGAGTTACTCCCATGAGTCTCGATGGCTCATCTTTTGCGCGCGGAAATCAACGGCCTAGCTTCACACTGTACGTACCTCAACGCGGCTGTGTCAGCTTCATGCCGAATCAGCTCCTGCCTGGACAAGAGACGAAGACACTGGATGCACTTCAGTTGCAGTCATAATTCGCACACGTGCTCAAACTACCAACATGAACACCGTTTGACGAAAAAGACTTCTATACCTGTTCACTGCCCATGTGTCATTCTCATAGGTGACCGCGCTGGTCAGACATGCGGGAAGCTTCACACTCAGCACCGCTGCTTCTCCCGCCTTGATGACGCTTGGCGCGAAGAGTTTGGTGACGAGGCTGAGCGCCCCCGCTGGTCAAAGCTGCTTAGGTCTGGAGTTGATATCTTTGCCCTTGACTATGATGCTATCCTTGCTGCCATGTATGCCTTGTCTGTTAGTGTTGAGGGTGACTGTTACCTGTGTGTGCCGCCCGACCCAGGTATAGAGGCTGCTGCTCTAGGTGCTAGTGAGTCTGCTCTCTCTGGTACTGCGCCTGCTGAGGCCTTGCACACCTTTACGCTTTACTCAGGTGCTTCCCGCCGTTTCTTTCGTGGCTGCACCACCCTCACTCCACTGCTTGCACCTGTTCCGGTCAGACTGGCTGACCCCTCAGGGGACCCATTTCTTGCCCGTTCCTCCACTGTTCTCCCATGTTCGGCGGTTCCCTCCGGCTCACTGTCAGGTCTTCACCTCCCCTCGTTCTCTACGAACTTGGTGAGTACCGCTGCCCTCCAGGATGCGATGGTCACTACCACCACTCCTGGGGGTTAGCGTGTGTTGATCTGCACATGTACACGTACGGGCCGTCACCTGGCCACGTTCACCCGTCGGCCTGGGTCGAGTCTGTACACACTGGCTACTAAGCCTCCTCAGGTAGCTGCGTCTGCTCAGGTGTTCGCGTCAAGTCCGGTAGCACCCCCCTGCTCGTGTCGCCTCCTGTCGCACCAGAATCTCCTGTGGCACCACCGCCTTGGTCACCCCTCCGTGCCACGCCTTCGTGGCATGCACTCCCGCCTGGCTGGCAGTTTTACCACCCCACCTTGCGTCGTGTCCTCCCCTCTTAGGACATCACGTTTGAGGAGTCAGTTCCCTTTTACCGCCTCTTCCCCTACCGCACTGCCCCTCTCCCCCCCCCCGCCGCTCTTCCTTGCTCCAAGTCCCCCTCCGGTAGACACCCTCCCCCCTCAGGATTCTGCTCCCTCGGGTGTTTCTCAGGTAGACCCACTCCTCGGGACTGTGCTTGTCGAGGTCACGGAAGACTCAGGTGCTCCTAGAGGTGTTGCGTCTGGGGGTGCTGCGTCTTGGGGTGCTACGTCTGGGGGTGCTGCTTATGGGGGTGCTGAGTCTGCGAGTGCGGAGCCTGGGGGTGCTGAGTCTGAGGGTGCGGAGTCTGGGGGTGCTGAGCCTAGGGGTGAGGAGCCTGGGGGTGCTGAGCCTGAGGGTGCGGAGCCTGGGGGTGCTGTGTCTGAGGGTGCTGCGTCTGCTGGAGGTCCTGCGGGTGCCTCGTCATGATTGTCTCCCCGGCGGGAGCCTCTCTCACCGCAGCAGCTGCGCGAGTGGTTTGCTCAGTGCACACGCCTTAGGAGTGGCGCTGCAGGAGCTGGAGGCTCTGCCGCTGGAGGCACTCGAGCTGGAGGTGCTGGAGCTACTAGTCTTGGAGGTGCTGGAATGAGTGGCTGCAGGGCATCAAGTGAGTGGCTGCAGGGCTCTAAGAGAGCACTTATAGGAAACTGCAGGGAATCAAGTGAGCGTCGCACAGAATCAAGTGAGTGTCAGTGAGGGAGCACTGATAGAGCAACCTCGTGCAGTGGCGCTCCATCCCCATGTCGCTGCAGGGCATCAAGTGAATGTGAAGGAGGCGTACGAATCGTCTCAATTTTTAAACCCAACGCACATTCCCTCATCCTTCATCTTCGTCCTCTTCTCGTGCACCTACTGAAGTCATGGGATATTCTCCAGCCACCTCTTAACAACCTTTGAAGTTTGACCTCCTGCTGCCATTCGCCGCTCCCTTTTCTCCCGTTCAATCCTCCCTGGCATGCCTCCACCCCCCCCCTCCCTACCGTCTTCCTCTTCCTGCTACGCCGTTGAACCTCATGGATTTCCTGCCATGCATTGCCATCCTCTCACCTCCTGCCATGCTTTCGCTCGCCCCCTTTCTCCCATACAATCCCCCCCTCCCAGCGTCTTCCTCTTCCTGCTGCGTCTGCTCAAGCTCATGGACTTCCAGCCGTGCATCGCCATCCTCACACGAACCATGGCGGCAGCCTTCCCCGCCCTCGTGCATTTCTTCCTGCTCTGGGCCATCATGTTCATCGGCTTCTCTCTTTACGCCTATGTGGTGTTTGGGCGAACGATAGAGCAGGTACGGTTGTGCTGTTGAGTGTGGTGCTGGGCAGGGTGTGGTGCGGAGTGGTACTATTGGGTTGGCAGGTGCAATGCAGTAGGTGGGTGGGTAGCCTTCCCCGCCCTCGTGCATTTCTTCTTGCTCTGGGCCATCATGTTCATCGGCTTCTCTCTCTACGCCTACGTGGTCTTCGGCCGCACGCTAGAGCAGGTACGGCGCTGTGCTGGGCGTAGGGTGCTGCCATCCGGTACCATTGGGTTGGCAGGTGCAGTGTAGCAGGTGTGTGGGAGTTCTTTCCCCGCCCTCGTGCATTTCTTCCTCCTTCCCTACCTTTTGAGACGTCTCAAAAGTACCACTAGATAATTTTGATCAGCTTCTCCCTCTAAATATACTTCAGCAGGGTGGCCATGTCCTCATCCTAAAAAATGACAACAGCACGGGATACTATTTCATTCAGCTGGAGGGGTGGAACCTCATGGAGCTCTGGGTACTCCTCGTCTTATATCGAAAACCAACCCATTCTCCCCCCACCCCCCCCCTTCTCTCCTTGCTTACAGTACAACACAGTGGCCATGTCGATGGTATCCTGCTTCCTCATTCTCATCAACGACAACAGCACCGGATACTATTTCATTCAGCTGGACGGGTGGAACCTCATAGCAGCCATCATCTTCTGGGTGGCCTACATCAGCGTGATGGTGTTTGTCATGCTCAACGTGCTCATCGCCATCGTGGTGGATGCGTTCTTGGAAGTCAGGGTACGTACTATCACAGCAGAGAGTCATACGGTGCATACATGTCACCTCTCTCACTCACGGCAGCCATCATCTTATGGGTGGCCTACACCAGCGTCATGGTGTTCGTCATGCTCAACGTGCTCATCGCTACCGTGGTTGACGCCTTTTTGGAAGTCTGGGTACGTGTCATCACAGCAGCAAGTCAGAAGGTGCGTGCATGCCTGCCACCTCACTCACAGCTGCCATCATCTCATCTTCTGAATCGCCTACATCAGCGTCATGGTGTTTTTCATGCTCAACGTGCTCATCGCCATTGTCGTCGACGTGTTCCTGGAAGTAAGGGTACATGCTTGACTTGAGGGGTGCATGCTTGGCACCTCACTCACTCACAGTTGCCATCATCGCATCGCATCTTCTGGACATGGATCGCCTACATCAGCGTGATGCTCTTTGTGATGGTCTTCCCGATGCTCAATGTGCTCATTGCTATTGTTGTCGACGCTTTCCTGGAAGTCCGGGTGTGTGCAAGTGTGCCCTAAGATGCATTCAATGCAATCACAAGCCCCATATGGCATGTCATTTCATCTCCATCCCTCCCGTCCACCCGGAAATCCACGGAGGAGTCGCCAGCCTTCTGGTGGACATGTGGTTTGTGCTGTGCATCGTGCTACTGACCCTTCCTTCCTCCTCTATTCTCTCCCTTCTTCCCTTTTCCCCTCCCCCCTTCCCCCCACGCAGAAATCCACGGAGGAGTCACCAGCGTTCCTGGTGGACATGTGGTATGTGCTACGCAACATGCCGCTGCGCCTCTCAACAGACTACTAGAAACCGGGAAGGCTGCAGTGCCACCTGCTCATGCTGGGCGCAGAGGACATTGATGTTACGGTGAGAGCAGGATACACTCGTCTTTCTTTCTTTGGTGGACTCACAACGCACACACGTGCTGTGCTGCGCCGCCTCTCAACGGACTACTGGAAGCCGGGAAAGCTGCAGCGCCACCTGCTTATGCTGGGGGAAGAGGACAGATATGTAGCGGTGAGAACGGGATAGCCTGAGGTGCGGTGCGGTGGTGTGCAATGGGGACAGGACAGCCTCTGCTCTTGTATGAGTCCACTCTCAAGGCAAGAATATGCTTGCGGTGGGTGGGTGCGGAGCGGAGGGTTATTCTGTAGCCGCGGGAATAGCACAGTCTCTTGAGTGGTGGTTTCTGCACTGCTCTGCAATGGGAGAGTGGACTCACAAGGCTGCCTCCTTGCATTGGGTGCTGAGGCTGACTGTGTAGTGGTGAGAGTAAGCTAGACTTGTCTTTGTTCGGTGGGACTTCAAGACGTCTCAAAAGGCGCTTGAGGGCGACTGTGTGGTGGTGGGAGTTGAAACGAGAACAGAGTAGTGTTTGGTGTGGATGGTAAGATTTCTGACTGGATTCAAGAGATATATGCTTGCATGGTGCTCTGATACCATGAAGAGAACCACAAATATAAGGTCTGTGGATCGACTTTGTAAATGACCAAGTCCATGGCATTCCGCAAAAGCATCTTCAGGCGATACAACCGCTGCTGCCATTTCATCCTGTCCCTCTTTCCCTCCCTTCCCCTCTCCCTCCCTCCCTCTCTCCTCTTTCCCAGCTGGAGAATGTAGTAGTGGCCAAGTCAGTTGCAGCCCCTTCAAAGGAGGCTTCAGAAAATACAACCACTGCTCCCTTTCCCTCCCTTCCTCCCTTCCTTCCCCTCCCTCCCTCCTCCTCCCTCCATTCCCCTCTCCCTCCTGCTCTTTCTCCTCCCTTCCTCCCCCCCCCACAGCTGGAGGATTCGATAATGGCCAAGTCAGTAGCAGCCCTCAAAAAGAGCTTCAGGCAAATCAGCCGCTGCTGCCCTTTTCCTATTTTCCCTTCGTTCCTCCCTCCCCCTCCCTCCCTCCCTCCCTCCCTCCCTCCCTCTCTCCTCTCTCACAGCTGGAGGATTCGGTGGTGGCCAAGTCAGTGGCAGCGCTCAAGGAGGGCTGGAATCGAGTCAGCCGCTGCTGCAGAGGCCTTGGGCGAAGCAAGCCGTGACCGCGCAGGGTGCTGCGGGTGGGCAAGCGGTGCTTGACTGCCGACGCCCTGCTGGGGGTGCTGGAGCGCTGTGCTGCCAACAGACCCCCTGGCAGTGACTCCGTGCGGGGCAGAGGCTTCAGCTTCAAACGACAGGTGGGCTGGATGGTTGCTTGCTCCCACTCCCTCCCACTGTCACTCTCTGCTCTTCACATCTCTTCACTTCTCCTGCTTGGGGTGCTGGAGCACTGTGCTGCCAATAGACCCCCTGGCAGTGACTCCGTGCGGGGCGGAGGCTTCAGCTTCAAACGACAGGTGGGCTGGATGGTTGCTTGCTCCCACTCCCTCCCACTGTCACTCTCTGCTCTTCACATCTCTTCACTTCTCCTGCTTGGGGTGCTGGAGAGCTGTGCTACCAACAGGCCCCCTAGCATTGACTCCATGCAGGGAGGCTTCAAATTCAAGCACCAGGTCAGCTAGCTGGTTGAATTAGATTCACTCCGGCTGAAATGACAGGTAGGTTGGCTGGTTGATGTTGGTGCAACCCTACGGTTTGCACTCGGCTTGTTGTCCGTGTGCGTGAATGTGTGTGTGTATGGAATGGTATGAGGGCATGGGATAATATATATTTCATGCTTATAATTGTGTGTGAATGTTGAGTCATGATGTCGAGTGTGTGTGTCGAGTCAATAGCGAGTTATCGCTAGACGCGTGTTACGCGGTCGTTTGTGTCTCGCGCGCGGTTTCTATTTTGTCGTGCGCGGTTTCTATTTTGTCCTGTGTCGAACGTTCGGCGTGTCGCAGGTGTGTGCAGCAGACCCATCAAGAACTCAAGGATGAGTTTGTGATGAAGAGCCCGAGCCTTGGTGTCAAGCCTCAAGTGATTTCGAAGCTCGCCAAAAAGGGTACACCTCAAGATATTGAAGATATTTACATTACTTTGTGTAGTGTAACATTTCACTTGGTGTAGGCCCTAGTGAAGGGTAGTTTCGAGACCCTTCGTGGTTGGGGACAGTGTGGCACTGTTCCACATCACTGTACCTCGGCTCTTGGGGTTTGTAGGAGCTGGGAGTCATTCCCAACTCGTAACTCTTCCTATCTTGTGTTCTAAGACTATAGTGGCTGCCATAGTACCGTTCGTTCAAACCGACGCTGTGTCGTCAATTCTTTATCAAATCGTGCAATCTAAATTGCTAATTGTAGACGACGTAAATACGCTCCAGATCCAATTTGAATCAAGTCATTTGCAGCTGCGAGCAGAACGCTATCAACGTTTGAAGCCGCTGTGCAGAAATCCGTCTGTGCTCTCTATCTTTCGTTTTAGGCACATTCAAGCCTATTGTGACTATAACAAGTGGTATCAGAGCCCCTTGGAGCAGTTTCGACAATGTCTGGACCTGAGGAAAGGGGTGGCAGAGATGCTGGTGGCAGTGGAGAAGCTCAAGCTCAAGACCAACCCCGTGATTCAGCCATGGCGCCCATGCAACCAAGTCTTGGCCCACCTAGGGATGAGCCTAGGGTGTTTGGGCTTGACAAGTTCAACGGTGACAACTTTGCTGAATGGTCCTTCAAGATGGAGAACATCTTTGACCACTATGACCTGCTGGAGGTGATGGAAGGAACGGAGAAGCGCCCCGAGAACGACCCGGAGAAGAGCCCGTGGGTGCGGAAGAGCGCACAAGGCTATCTCTTACTTGGGCAAGCGTTGGGGAGCAGTCAGATCCGTCACATCAAGCCATTCCAGCGTGAACCAGAGAAAGGACCAAAGGCATGGGCTGCTCTCAAGGGTGTACATGCTCCTGCAACAGCGGCGGTAGCGGTGGTGTTGGAACGGCAAATGGCGGCACTACGAATTGAAGAAGACGAAGCGGTTGAAGAAGGGGTGCTGAAATTCTTCGACTTGTTGACGCGGCTTGAGGGAGCTGATTTGAACTACAGTGAGCTCCAAAAGAAGACCAAGTTGCTGGCCTTACTCCCAGAGTCATGGTCCTCGCTCATCATCAACCTTAATCGCGACTTGCCCCGCCTCTCGCTTGAAGACGTGAAGCGAGCTATCCTTCAAGAGGATTTCCGCCGCCGTGAGTTGGCGAGTGCGGATGGCGCTGGGGCAGCGAGCATCGGCCGTGGATATGGTCGAGGAAGAGGCAGAGGACGAGGGGGAGGAAGGTTTGGTGGCAGCAACTTCGGCGGAGGCCGCAGGAGTGGCGGTTACGGCAGCGACGACAAGAGCTACGGACGCGGTCGCGGCCGATTCGACGGCGAGTGTCACTATTGCCACAAGAGCGGACACATGTGGCGCGACTGCTACAAACTCCCTGATGGTTGGACCCCTGCTCAAGGCCAAGAGGGTAGAGGAGCAGGAGGAGGGAGAGGACGAGGCCGTGGAGGCCGTGGCGGTCGCGGTGGCGGAGCTGCAAACATGAAGAGCGGAGACAACGACAAGGACCCGAGCGACGATCGATACCCGGGTCTATTCTACTTCGTGTCGACGCAAGTACCGGCTGGTCCAGAGAAGGATGAAGGCTTTGAGGAGCCAGCAGCTGTGGGGAAGGTGACCCTACACCCCCTGGACTATTGGGTGATTGATAGTGGCGCTACCTATAGCATGACACCTCGCCCGGACTTGCTCACCGAACTCGAGCCGTCACCGGTGAAGCATGTCACATCGGCTTTGGGGCAGCGAGCAGAGGTGAAAGGCATGGGCAAGGCCATATTCAAGGGTGCTGATGGGAAGATGGTGGGCCTCAAGAACGTGCTTTGGGTGCCCAGCCTTGCTGCAAACCTGATTTCCGTGCGGCGGTTGGCAAAGGCCGGCATGGACACGAACTCGAAGGGAGCCAAGACCTACACCGCAAGGCTTGGCGATCGAATTCTTTGGGACCTTCATGAGGACAGGGATGTCTACAACGAGATGTGGCAGATCCCAGTGGTCCCTATGCCTAAGGAGAGGCAAGTGGCAGCAAGCATCAGCACCAAGGATGGAGCGGTCGGTAGCGACGGTGGCGCGAACGGTCGCGCTAAGGAGAATGAGCTCAAGAAGAGCAAACCTGGAGGGACCAGCAAGTTCAGTGAACCTAAGGAGAGTGGTGCAGCAACCAAGGAGCAGCAAAAGGGTGAGGAGAACCCAGAGGCAGCAGCGGAGGAGGACTACGGAGAGAGTATGTGGGGCGCTATTGCGAGCGCGGCATTCTCCAATCCAACTTCGGCTACGGGGGAGTGTGATTGGCTCACCTTGCATCGGCGCATGGGGCATGTGGCCCTGCCCATCTTGCAGCAGCTAGTGAAGAATGAGATGGTTGCTGGCATACGTGTGAAGGGGGAGCCCGATGAGGTGCTTGGCTGCCCGACGTGCATTCAAGCCAAGTTCACCCGGTTTCCGTTCCCTAGTTCGGAGGCAACGGCAAAGGCACCGCTTGATGAGGTGGTGATGGACGTGGTGGGCCCCCTGAAGCTTGGAGCTGCTGGAGCTGAGTATTTTCTCACCATTGTCGACGTCTACACCCGCATGACTTGGGTGTACGTGCTGGCCAAGAAGAGCGACGTGGCTGAAATGTTGAAGACGGATTGGTTCCCGATGGTGGAGCGGCAACAAGACCGTCTAGTCAAGTCAATCCGCACCGATCGAGGGGGAGAGTTCCTGAGCAAGGAGTTTGGGTTGTGGCTGAAGAAGAATGGTATTTGGCACTCCCTCACCATGCCATACTCCCCTGCAATGAACGGCATCGCCGAGCGAGCGAACCGCACAATCACGGAGGCGGCACGCGGGTTGCTCATTGAAGCCGGGCTACCCGACTATTTCTGGCCTGATGCGGTGCGGAGCGCGTGTGTGGCCAAGAACAGAGCCTTGACTCATGTGGGAGCAGACAAATGGGTGCCCTATGTGGAGTGGCTAGGAAGGAAGCCAAAGGTGGATATGCTTCGGGTGTTCGGGTGCATGTGCATGGCGCTCGTGCCTAAGCATCTTCGGCACAACAAGCTTGGTGCCAAGGCGGTGTGGGCCGTGCACTTGGGCATGGCTCAAAACAGCAAGGGATGGCTTCTTTGGGACCCATTCACCAAGAAGTTCTTGGTGAGCAGGGACTGCAAGTTCATGGAGAACTTCATGTACAAGGATTGGAAGGCGGAGAATGAGGCGAAGTTAGGCGTGCGGTTTGGGGAGGTGAAGAGTTCCGGTTTGGAGCATGTGGAGCTGCCTTTGGAGCTGAGCAGTGGCAGCACAACCACAAGGCAATCCTCCCTTGTGAATGGGGGAGAGGAGGCCAATGATGCAGAGGAAGAAGAGGAGGAGGTGCAGCAAGTGAGCGAGCGTGCACCGTCACTCCCTTCCCGTACTACGAGTGCTCCACGGATTCGAGCCACACCGCAGCAACGCCAAGGCCTTCAAGTCCCTGCAGCTGAGGAGGAAGGAAGGGGGAAGAGGAAAGTTCAACCCCCTAATAGGCTGACCTATGATGCGCCGGGAAAGCAGGGCAAGACAGCCCTGGCCGGAGCGGCAATGATGGTCGGAGACGACGAGGAGAGTGACTACGAGGAGTGTGCCTTCGCGTTCTTCTCTCCGGTGGAGATGCCGGGAGAACCAGCAACTCTCAAGGAGGCTTTGGAGAGTAGTGATGCTGAGGAGTGGAAGAAGGCCATGGAGAGTGAGCTGAAGAGCATCGAGGAGAATGACACGTTTGAATTGGTGGAGCTACCGGAGGGGCGTACGGCGATAACGTCCAAGTGGCTCTTCAAAATCAAGTCGGATGCCGACGGCAAGATCGAGCGCTACAAGTCTAGGCTTGTAGCCAAGGGGTACCAGCAGAAGGAGAAGGTGGACTTCAAGGAGCTGTTTGCCCCTGTGGTGAAGCCGACGACGCTGCGAACCCTATTCGCGGGAGCCGCCATCAAAGGATGGGTAGTAAAGCAAATGGACATCGTAACGGCATTCCTTAACGGCATCCTTGAGGAGGAGATTTTTATGGCGCAGCCAGAGGGGTTTGATGATGGTAGTGGCAGAGTGTGGAAGCTGAAGAAGGCCCTCTATGGGCTGAAGCAGGCCCCTAGGCAATGGTACATGAAGCTGCGCGAAGTGTTGGAGGGGATCGGCTTCACTCCCTCAACGGCCGATCACTCCTTGTTC